TAGGAAAGCTAAATAAGCAAAACAGACGATATAATTGTAACTCAATGTAGAGGTCCATGAGTGTATCTTTCAGAGTTATTGTCTGAATCCCGATATACATGGTAAAAGATACAACTTCCTTAAGGTTTGTCCATGAGTATATATGCAAAGAGGGTTAACTGTCCATTTATAATTGCATCAAGACAAAGTGTTTTGTTTATCGCCCTAGTACAGAACGAAAGAGTGGGGATAAAAAGGTGAGACATTTTTAGCTTTGGAAAATGCATAAAAGCCAACAACCTGCATACAACAGTGTCAGGTTATGAACCTCATCATTACAGGAAAATTTCGATTTCAGAACATTCTACAGGAGTAGCTATAAAATCGGTCGAATTATCCCCCCAAAAAAGAGTTTTTTAGCGATTGGTGTTGGAATTATGTAAGTAGGATGATACACAATCTATATCTCTCCTCCATTACATGATGGTGATTGATCATCGTGGGGATATCGTTGTAAGCTGACAATGAGAGAGGAGAATCTGACTGGTGTCTTAATAAAAACTTTGTGTGTGTTATACAATCTATTCTACTACTGTACTGATGAGATTCATAGTTCATATATGGCCAATATTATCGAATTAAAAAATCAACGATTAGTTTATATTTATTCCGACAGATGGCGCAAGCCATCAGTAACTTTCAGTTGCACGATCAGAGAGAGAGAGAGAGAGACATCATACACAAGTCAATGGTGGTATTATAAAATAATTATAAAAAGAGGGTTATATGAGAAAGATAAAATAAAAGAGTGTATGCAGTTAGGTAAAGTCCAGGAATCTCCTCTAACAACAAAGAATCCTCCTCCAGACAGTAAGTCATGTTCTCCTCTCATTTCAAGACTCAGAGAGAACCTGTGTATAGAGAACGAGAGAGATTGAGATTTAAACTGATCTATTACAACGTCCATATAAGATTATATAGGGTTAAATACAGATAAATATGAATAAATATGATTATATAATGATAAAAATATGAATAAATAGATAAAAATAATTGATAAATATACATATATATATAATATATGCGATAATGCGTTGAGATCCTGTCGACTCTCTGAGATAATAGGTTGGGATCCTTATCTATGATTAGGGATCCTGTCGACTAGCTGTAATAATGCGTTGAGGTTTGGTAAGCCTGTTGTAGAACCTCGTCGACTCTCGCTATAAGTTGTGGCAACCGAGGGTCAAACCTGTAGTAACCGCGAGGGACAGTCAGGGGTGGAGAGTTTTCCAGTACCTCGCTGCACCTTGTAGGACCTTTAACAGTTCTCCCAAAGTGCAGGCAGTCGTGGTCGAGGCAGAGTGGAAAAGCTGGGAATGTCCACACACACAAAAAACGAAGCGACACGTTGTAGAAGGGAAGTTCCTTGAATAGATAAAAAGCGAGCCAAGAGCAAAGATGGAGATCGAGAAGTTTTCTTACTGTTTTACATGGTCGATGAGTTGGTGACAACCGGCGATAAGGGATGACGCTGACCGGGACTGACTAGAGCTGAGAGGGCTGTTGCTACGTGGGGTCCTATTTATACAACTTTTTTGGACCAGGAAGGGGACTAGGAAGTGGACCAGGAAGTATTGCCTTTCTGCACGTGTCCGCAACTCGACTCTGGCACCAGTCTGTTGGCTTCCATCTATCTTTAGAAGTTACTTTGTGATTCGCTCAATCTTGCTCTTAACTCAGTTTTTAATCTATTATATATTTTTATTTATTCATCCTCAGTACATTACATCTGGAGATACAAGGACACACGTCAATTATGCGTATAATTAGTTATAGTTTATAATTAGTTCTATATACAACATGACAAGCTTGTTATACGTATTACATAATATAGGGTTATTGGTTTAAATTATCATATATATATATACAAGGTCTTCATTGTTGGCTCCCACCGCGGGAAAGACTCCGCCACCGATGGACTGTGAGAGTTCTTTCCCACAGAGTGGGCAGGTCGATGTGATGGCTGGCGTAACCCAACTCAAGACCAAGATGGTACTTGTAGATGGTAGCCTTCGCCACACTGGTCAAAAGAGAGAGAGAGACATTGACAATTAACATATTTTTATTGACATCTTGCCAATACAGGAAAGTGCACAGTCCGCACTAATTATAAGAAATTAACAATAATGTGAATGATGATAAAACGAAAAAAATATATATAAAACAATATGCTATATACAATGACATTGTACATGCTGCCTCAGCCACCGCTGCAGAGCTTAGTGGAAGATCGCCAGAGAGTCTACAACGATACCACGTATTTAGCGATTTACGAAGAAAACTTATATAGCATGCTTCGCCGCTGAGGATATGAGAGATAGAGAAAGAGGGCGAGATACATCATACACGAGTCAATGGTGGTACTGTAAAATAATTATAAAAATAAAGATAATATATATTTATAATAGTATGTAATTCTACTATCCTCAAAGCTTATGTCCATAGTTCATCTAAAATACCCATTACAAGAGTCTACCAACAGTATCACTATAAAAGGAAGTTCCAAAAATGCAATATAACAGCGGTATGGTAGATTAAACTGGCGAAACCGCTGGGAGGGTTACCACTGATGAGCCAGGCCCTCCCTTTAATTTTTCCATCGCAGTAAGGACAATAGAAATTGTTTAATTTTAAAAAGAATCTTACGCGTCTAAAATAGTTTCTAATTATCATATATGAGAAAGTTAAAATAAAATAGTAAGCAATATACAGTTATGTACAATCCTGGAGACAGAGAGTACAGACAGTAAGTCACGTTCTCCTCTCATCACAAGGCTTAAAAAGAACCCATGTATAGAGAGCGAGAGAGATTGAGATTGAAACTACTTTATTTCAAAGTTCATATAAGATTATATAAAAGATAGAGGCTGCCTGGCCGGCATTCATATTTCTTGAAATAAAAGACACTTCGGCCAGTGAATCTTTAATAATCAGTAAAAAGATTCACTGGCCGAAGTGTCTTTTATTTCAAGAAAAAGATTATATAAGGTTAAATACAGATAAATATGAATAAATAAGATTATATAATGGTGAATGTATGAATAAATAGATTCAAAAATATAAAATAAATAATAAATATACATATATATATAAATACCATAGAAGCATAGGGCGCTTCTACCGTCAAAATAAACGTAAAACCTGACGCCATTTATTGACCATCGCCGCAACTAGCGGCCTCGGGTCGGTGACAAAGCCACAACACCAGCTTTTGCAAACTTAGAAGCGTCCACCTAAAGACGGCTAATTGCGGCGACGGTCAATAAATGGCGTCAGTTTTTACGTTTATTGGAGAGGCGCCCTATGCTTCTATGGATCAATTTCCTTCCGGCAAATTTTCCATCTATATATATAAATATATACCAGTCCCAGAGAGCGAGAGAGAGAATATGCTTTCTTTTTTTCTTAATTTACCAAACTTCAATGTTCCAATCTTCCCAGATGGTAGGTTGAGGAGAAAATCCTGACACGACAGAAGAGGACATGTTTCAGTATAGCGACCAATCCGCAAGATTTGAGATCATACCCTCCTTATTCTGTTCCTGGAGCGAGACATTCCTACAGATTCTTTGGTGAAATGTTTTATGATTTTAGCAGAAGTTGGTGAAATCGGTATAAACCGTCGATTGTTGACAACAACGACCCTGGGATCGAATCCCGCACTTGATACTTTTTTTCTGCAGAAAAAATTGTTTCAATGGCCCCCGATTCTTGCAAGAATTCCAACTCCATCAATGAGTGCAAATAATCAAGCGGGGCTCTGACACACTTTAAGTGTAAAAGTCGAATTCCTTTCCACATGTGTAGATACTTACAGTAAAAGTCGCCAACTACTACCGACTAGATAAGGCACAATTTGGATTATAGATGATAAACACAAGGTAATAAGACCAAATCCAAATAAATAAATTGTGTGTAGCGTTTCAGTAACAATGCAGTTACCTAAACGCCACACACTATTTATTTATTTGGATTTGGTCTTATTACTTTGTGTTTACTACCGACCAGGATCATCGTGACTTGTACCACGTGTACTAAGGATATAATAATAAAAAATGGATTTAGCACACTAACGTTTGCTTGTTGGGGGTCAGTGGTCTAAACCGTTGGATTTCGATCGCCTCGCCCGGAGATCGAATCCCGTATTGAGCACTTTTTTTTCTAAAAAATAAAAAAATATTAAATGCTGCAATGGCCCTTGATTCTTGAAAAAGTCTAACCTAAACAGAGAGTGCTGATAAACAATCGAGGCTCTGACACACTTGAAAGTGCAAAAGTCTAACTGCTTTTCACATGTATAGACATGTGGTGTACTTACAGTAAAAGCAGTTGCTAACTTCTACCCACTATGGATATCATGGGCTGTACAACGTGTACTAGGGATAATGATTAAATTACGTTTGCTTGTTTCCATGTCTCCAAAATATTTCAGAACACTTGGTCTTCCTGATCTGTCGTTGTCTTGTGTTAAAACTCAACATGCTCTAAACCATGGATACCATTCAAACACAAAAGTTTTCCTTAAAATTTTCCTACTACAGTATTCCTTGAAATTTTCATCTCCAAATGTGTGATTAATACTTTTAATATTTCTCTCTCAAAATAAGATAGACTTCGGCCAGAAAAATTTTCATTTTTTTCTTGGCTGAATTATCTATCATTTTAAGAAAGATGAATGTCGGCCAGGCATTCTCCCCATCTTCAAGACTTTCAATGTTCTGTTTGGATTCATTTTTGACACAGATATTTAAAGCCAATGTATTGCTCTGTTATTTTCTTCGTCGATAAATTGAAATTTTGTCGCCAAGTTTTATGGTTTAAATATAAATTAGAACAGATAAATGCTCCCTTAGTAAGAACTATCACATCATATTTTTGAAGATCAAATGTTGGTTGGAAGTTTTCATGGAAAAATATATGGATACATCAACTAATATATTATTTACGAACGGAAAAATATGTCCAGGGTAGCCTAGTGGACATGGCATCTGCTCGGTAAGCGGAACACTGTATTTCGATTCCCATTCCTGGACACTTTATTTTTCCGTTTATCATTACTCTTCACAATTCATACTTTCATACTTCATCTCTAAGGTTAGAAATAATCGTTATTTCTCTTTAAAATAAATTTCGATTTTTCGTTCAAAAGAAACACATGCGGGATAATTGCTAAATGTCGTTTTACAATCATAAGCCGTATTATATTGTATTAGTTTTTATTTAGTTTCCGACGCGTTTCATTTAATAGGATTCAAAATAATGATTCCCTTAAGGAGAGAATGACAATGAGTTACTGAGACTTCAGGATTTAAATAAGAAAAAAAAGTTGATGTAGCCATATCTTTCTCCAAATATTACATCAGAGTATAGCCAAAAAAAATCTATCAAAATACGAAACTATTATAGACGCGTATGATTCTTTTAAAAATAAAATAATTTCTACTGCCCTTAGTACAATGGAAAAATTAATGGGAGGGCCTGGCTCATCAGTGGTGAACCCTCCCAGCGGTTTCGCCAGTTTAATCCACCATACCGCTGTTATATTGCATTTTTGGAAGTTCTTTTTATAGTAATACTGATGCTAGGAATGAGTATTTTAGATGAACTATGGATATAAGCTTTGAGGATAGCATAATTACATATAATTATAAAACTATATTATAGCTTTTTAAAATTTTTATCGCGTTTTTTAGAGCTGTTTGAAGAATTTAATTAATTAATGAATTCTCTCACCTCTCTTATAACTTTTTTCATAGATTCCATTGCGGTGTACAAGCAAGATATAATGATGTACTGAAGTAATTATTGCGATAATTTGTAATTATAAGAAGCTAATAACAATTAATATAAGAGATAGAGAGATTTATATAACCCAGGGAGTACAGAACACCAACTACCCGTGGAGTCCAGCTTACTAGCATGGATTAGTGTTGAGCGCTTTTACTCGCGTTCTGTTTTGATCGCTGAGTTGAACCAGTTGACCAGAAAGTTCCATGCTGAAGTTGGGTCTGAGAGGCTGGCCATATATAGAGAGGGATTTATAACCCAAGTTCCTGGAGTACAGAACACCAACTACCCGTGGAGTCCAGCTTACTAGCATGGACTAGTGTTGAGCGCTTTTACTCGCGTCCTGTTTTGATTGTTGAGTTGAACCAGTTGACCAGGAAGTTCCATGCTGAGTCTGGCCATAGATGTAGAGTTTAATAAAAGTAGATTTATATTACGATGCACTTGCGCGCCATCTGTTATCAAAATTCGAAAATATTTTAAACGCGTAAGATTATTATTATTTTTTAATTAAACAATTTCTACTGCCCTTACTGCAATGAAAAAATTAAAGGGAGGGCCTGGCTCATCAGTGATGAACCCTCCCAGCAGTTTCGCCAGTTTAATCTACCATAAACCGCTGGAAGGGTTCACCACTGATGAGCCAAGCCCTCCCTTTAATTTTTCCATTGCAGTAAGGGCAGTAGAAATTGTTTAATTAAAAAAAAAAAAAAGAATCTTACGCGTTTAAAATAGTTTCGAATTTTGATAAAAGTAGATTTCCTCATCCACACACATTCAATGATTGTATCCCGTGTATTGTCTCGCGTTTTAAGACGTGTTTATGCATTTTTTATTTACCAATTTTTCTTTAAACAGGCACGTAGAAGAGTTCTCAATACTCGAAACCTTGCAATGTTGATTTGTATAATGGAATAAAGAAACTTTACATTTATTCAAGATCAAAAATTGTGAAAAGCGTTTAAAATCTATAAATATTTTCTCACAATGAGTTTCTTTTAATTTTAAAATCCAAGCTTTAAAATGATAATCACTCTTCAACGGGCTTAATTAAAATAATTGACTATTTCGTACAAGAAGTGTTTACTAAATGTATCTTATAAGAAATAGTTAATGTTTTAATTAAGCCCGTTGAAGAGTGATTATCACTTGAAAGCTTGCATTTTAAAGCAAAAAAGAAACTCATTGTGAGAAAATATTTATAGATTTTAAACGCTTTCAACAATTTTTATCTTGAATCAATGTAAAATTTCTTTATTTTTTCCATTATAAAAATCAACATTGCAAGGTTTCGAGTATTTAGAACTCTTCTACGTGCCTGTTTAAAGAAAAATAGATGAAGAAAAAATGCATGAAAACACGTCTTAAAACGCGAGACAAGCGTAATTAAAAAAAAAAAAAAATTCATTGTGGGAAAACATTTGTCTATTTTATTACATAGAGTATAGTAAAATGGTTCATATAGAAGGTTGGCAATTTACTAATATATAGCTTTTGTAACCAAAATAATTGCCATTCTTTTTAAATATGAAAAACACTCCTTTTTTTTACTGGATCCCCACAACGTCGTAAAGATAGCAAATATTTTAGCATTACTTATTTCTTTAGAGATTTCACAGAAATTTGGAAGACAAGATCATTGATCTACAACTGCGGAGAATTCCCCAAACTAAATATAACTTGTAGAAACCTATATGCATATTTACCTCTCACAGAAATAAGATCACTTATAGAGTTTACAAAAGAGCTGTAAGTAAGATTCGAAAATTTATTCCATCCAAAGAGAGAGGTCTGACGTCGCATCTCTGAAGTTGCAATCTAATCCAGTCGGGCGGCGTTCTATTTGAGCGCCATGTGTCTGCCGCCGCTAGAACAACAAACAGAACCGCAAGTGGGAGGGCCAAACTAATGAACCGCCGAGCTCCCATTGGCTGTCTCCCAGCAACGCTGCGGTTAATTGACAGCGAAGGAACAATATGGAGGTGAAGTCAGCCGTGCTCTGTGTAAACATCGCCTATCAACATTCAACAAACTCCCCCCTCCCTCTCTGCAATAACAGCGGTAGATTTAAGACTAACTTTGTGTTTCTTTTTCTGCAGGGCTCGTCGAATGTTGATGTTACTACGCCACAGCGACTTTGCCTGAATGGTAACATTGGAATCGTTTATTTTGGAGGCTCGCTATCAGTTGGTGCACTGAGCTCCTTCTGATGGCCTCGTCGTCCGCTTCCCCCGTCACGGCGGACTCGCGCCTGCTGCCTCTCTATCCACCCCGGCCGCCCGAGCTGTTCTTCAACGGCGGACGGATCCCACATCCTTACGATGGACAGCATCTTGATCTCTCCAAGTCAACTGAGAAGATGAAAGCTGCAGAGAAGAAACCTCCATTTTCTTATATCGCCCTAATTGCAATGGCAATCCGTAGTGCTCCCGATCATAAGATAACTCTGAGTGGCATCTACAAATACATCTTAGACAGGTTTCCATATTTCCATGAGAGCAAACAGAGCTGGCAGAACTCTATTCGTCACAATCTTTCACTCAATGATTTCTTCATTAAGGTTCCCAGAGAAGCTTTCAAACCTGGTAAAGGCAATTACTGGACGTTGGATCCCAGCGCTGAAGAGATGTTTGAGAATGGAAACTTTAGACGACGCAAGAGGAAGTTGAAATGCATCACTTCCAACAAAATGAGAGACCACAAGAACAAGGTAAGAGAGGAACTAGTCAAACCAGACTTTTCCTTTTCACCGCTAAGAAAATCTGTGATTGTAACTGACCGCTCATCTTCAAAATCCAACTCATTCACAATAGAGAGGATCATGGGGGAGACATCAGAGAACAAACCACCCCCCATTCCCACTCCAATCAAGATGGCCCCCACCCCGTACTTCCCAACTCCCCCCAGCATCTTCAGCCCTATATGGAGCCCTGGCACCCTCTTAGGACCCATCTGGTGCCCCCTGCCCCCTGGGATGCCTAAAAGGTAAGAAGCTACCTGTAGTTTCATAACACAACAATGGCTTCATTTACAAAGCTGTCCCAAAAAGTTCGTAAACACTTGCAAAAAAATTAAAATAATAATATTATTCGCTTTATCGCGCAACTGAAAGTTTCAGTTGCACGATAAGGAGATGCCTTTTTCTTAATTTATGCACCTTATCCCAGTACAATATCACATTTGTACTATTTTTTCAATATTATTCGCCGTTATGTATAATATCTGTGGTGGTTATTTAACGACAATCCACATAAAACATTTACCTTATAAAATCAAGCCTTTTTATTGCAATCACTACACCTCGCTATTGCTATTATATTCAGACAACCAAAAGAATAAGAAGAAGAAGAAGAATGAATTTAATTAAATAGAAAAAAATATATATATAAATTAGATAATAAAAATTTTGCATATTTGCAACAAACAAATACGAATTTTTAAAAGCAAATAAAATTTACATAAAATAGAAATACAAAACAATAATTTTTACATGTCCCCTACATATCTTTGTATTATGTATAAAGTAATTGCATTATGTATTATTATGTATTCGCTGTAGTAATATTATTCGCCAGATAATAAGAAAAACAACGTTTTAAGAAAAACACGAACTTGTGGAACAACCTTATACTTTCTTACGAGATTACTAATTTCTATAGTGGTCTGGTAGTTCAAATACAAACGGTATAACTTCACAGTAAAACATCTCTCGTAATACTTCGGCTATTCTATGACTGAAATAAGTCTACAAGACTGGAATATATATATATTCATGATGCAATTGTGATAAACGTTTTAAAATTATAAAATATTTTTTCTCACAATGAGTTTCTTTTTTATTACAAAACGCTAGCTTTCAAGTAATAATCGCTCTTCAACGGGCTTAATAAAACATCGACAATATCCCACAATTTTTGTAAATATTTCTTGTAAGATATAGTCGATGTTTTATTAAGCCCGTTGAAGAGCGATTATCACTTGAAAGCTAACGTTTTGTAATAAAAAGAAACTCATTGTGAGAAAATATTTTGTAATTTTAAAACTGGCATATACCAATTCCATATATAACAGTCCTTTATATTTTTTGTTTGATTTTTTGATTCTTTTCTTGCTTTTAGATCCTATATGGAATATCTGTATGAGGCCTTAATCAAGGCTTTTGTATATATATGTTATATAAAGGTATTATTTAAAATGTTATATTAAAATATTAGTTTATTTAAAATTATATTTCATAGATACAAAT